GTCAAGCTGCCTCTTTTTTAGGATGATGTCATTCATATTCATAGACACTGGGTTGTGGGAAAGAAGACCAAAGTTTTTCCTCTAAATTTGCATACACAGTTTCATGGCAGAGAATTGCATTCGTTATGCTTCATCTCTGCAGATACAAAAGCCGGGTTCGATGAAAGTAAATTATCTGATCGGTCTAGTTGGATTGCAACAGGGTGTGAAGATGGATCTGTAAGATTGACAAGGTAGGTGCTAGTTTTATTAAGATTAATTGTGATATTTGATGGCGGTTTAGAAATCATTGTATCTAAATGTCTTAAAGTATGTGGCGTTCATTTAGGTATGTATCTGAGTTTGGAAACTGGTCAACATCAGAGCTATTAGGAGAACATGTTGGAGGCTCAGCTGTGAGATCAGTTTGCTGCGTATCAAATATGCACATGATTTCTTCGGACATGCCTAACGTACCAGACGTGTGTGAACAAGACTCTGCAGTGGATGATAGCGAAAGTCCTTGCTTACTGATTTCTGTTGGAGCCAAGCGTGTTGTAAGCTCTTGGCTCCTAAGGAATGGTAGACAAAATAAAAAGGGAGAATCTTGTATTAGTGATAATGGACACAATAGAGCTTCATCGGAAGTGTCTTCAGTGACATTCCAATGGCTTGCTACTGACATGCCAACCAAATCTCGTCCTTGTGGAAAGACCGAGAAATCTCCAAAATTGGACGGAGTTGATGAAGATACTACTGCTAACATCACAAAGTTAGGGTCTAATACGTATCATGAGCGAGAAAACTATGAAGATGACTGGAGATACATGGCTGCCACTGCATTTCTTGTCAAATGTGTTGGCTCCAGGTTAGAGGGACAGCCTTCGCTTACATTGATTGAACCCATCAATGATAGACAATGTTGAAATATTTTCTGTTCATCTTTTCAGGCTAACTATCTGTTTTATCGCTGTGGCTTGCTCTGATGCCAGCCTTACATTACGGGCCCTAGTCTTACCACATCGATTATGGTAACCGGAAGAAGTGTTTTACTTGTTTGATTACTTGGATTTTCAAACTTTGAGTTTGTGTTACATTTTGATATACTATGCATCTAATTTCAGGTTTGATGTTGCATCGTTGGTTCCTCTAAAATCTCCAGTTCTGTCATTACAACACGCCGTTGTGCATCTGCATCCCCCACATGAAGGTTTAGCCATTGATATTAGTACTTCTCTATCAGTTGACTTCTTATCAATTCGTTTCCTTTTATGCTAAATGAAATTGTTTTCCCGAAATCTTCTTGTCGTAATAGTTTTGATAACTTTACGTGACAGGTAATACATCATCTAGTGATGTTTATCTCCTCATCAGTGGGGCCACAGATGGAAGCATAGCCTTTTGGGATGTAACTAAATGTGTAGAAGCTTTTGTAAAGCAAGTATCCAGCATCCATATTGAGAAGTTCATTGATTGTCAGTTACGACCACGAACTGGAAGAGGGAGTCAAGGTGGTAAGAAATGGAAACTGTTAGGCTCCAAAATTTCTAAGAAACCACAAGAGAACAGCAACTCAGTTGGTGAAGCTGCAGCCACGTCTTTGGAACTCACAAATGGCGTTCCTCAGGAAAACCATGAATACGAAGGTGCAGATTCTCCTCCCGAGACAAGCGAGATAAAGCCTTCACATGTCGTGAAGAATGCTCATCAATCTGGAGTTAATTGCCTTTATGTTTCTCGCTCGAGCAGTTCTCCAAGTAATGGCAATAGCTTGATGTTCAATGTGATTAGCGGGGGTGATGATCAAGCCCTTCATTGTCTTAGCTTCAACATCCTCAGTAGTAGTAATAGTCCAGCCAGAAAATCTGAAATCATGGATCTAAACCAAACCCCAAGTTACAGAATCAGGCTCACAGACCGTGGAGGTATTGCATCAGCTCATAGCTCTGCCATAAAAGGTACTATGCCTCGAAAACCCTATGTGGAATTCAAATCATATAAGTCTCTATTAGGCTAAGTTTCTCTTTCACCATTTCCCTAATAAAAAGACTGAATCTTTGTTTCGATTCAATGAAGGCGTGTGGATGGACGTGAACTGGGTGTTCTCGACAGGTCTTGATCAACGTGTACGATGTTGGTTTCTCGACAAAGATGGTAAACTGATCGAGCACGCTCATTTAGTCATCAGCGTGCCCGAGCCAGAGGCACTAGATGCTAAAGCCATTGATGAGTAAGTAAAATGCACTCACACTTCCATGATCCATAAACAAAATAAAAACTTCTCTATTGCTATCTCACATACCCAATCTGTATACTTAATCTATCTGCAGAAACCGATACCAAATAGCTGTTGCGGGACGCGGGATCCAGATGGTTGAATTCTCCGGTTACTAGGTTCAGAACCCAGTATTTGATCCATTTTTTGAGGTAAACTGTCCTAAGCTACCCTCTGGCTCTGCTAGGATTTATTTACACCAGTGAGGCCTGTAATTTATACCAAACCAATTTTGAGTGCTCGGTCGGTCAGAGTAAACCGGATTTTGATTCCTGGTTCAGTTTGATCAGAACTGTGCTTTTGTCGGTGCTCTACTTTATCTATTATTTTTTTTTGTTTGGCCAAAGTCGCCGTCGGTGCTCTGCTAAATTCTGGTATCAGTGGTGTGTATCATGTTTCTGAACCCAATTTGATAGTAACATTATTGTTGCTCATTTGGGTTATGGAATTGTGCCCATGTGGAACCTTTATGAGAGAAAGATCAACTCTTCACATGACATTATTTAATTCTTAATCAATCAATTCGACTTATTAATAGTAAATTAAGTTCTTTAGAGATTTGAATTGATTTGATGTGATACAGATGTGGCTTTTTCTAGCCTTAACCAGTCAAAATTTCCATTTATACTATTTCGTACATATAAATGTTTATGAGAATTCGAATTCATTCTACGGTTTTTTTATAAGATTGTAACTACAGTATTATTTGACTTTTTACGATAGGAAACTTGAATGTTATTTTGTTGTACTTGTCTCTGTTTTGAATCACTTCTGATAATTGGATCGAGATATTTGCCCACGTAATAATCATTTACGTGGTTGGTGACCAGATCTTGTGGAAAAAGAAATTGTTGTTTATTTCAAATACTTCGCATATTCTTCAAAATTTGTTGGCTGATTCTAAAAATTGTGTGTTTTAAAATTTAGTTTAAGGAAAAAAATCTTCACATCATTTTATTATTTGTATACACCCAAGAAACTCATTGATGATATTAGTTTAAGATTCATTAACGGTCGACTGTATCGTGCATTCGTGCTTCCATATAGTATTGCTCTTAATTGAGGTGTCGGTTCAATTGTTGTGATCATTATATTTTAACTCTACCTAATAATGCAAATTCTTAATTTTATTTGTAAATTAGTATAAACAATGGAATGTGAACTCCAACGTACTTAATTAATGTTTGATTAATTTATAGATTTATGTAACTATCAAATGCCATAATAGATAGTATTGTATTATCAAATGCCAAATTTCCTCACACGACTTAGAATTTTCTACGAGTTTTGGACTTACAATTATTCATTAGCATTTAAAGTTGACTGGTAAATCAATACATTAATAATATTATCTACAAAGCAAGTTGTGATAGTTATCCAAAAAAGCAAAGCATTTTTATCTTCTATAAAATTTTTACCAATATACGACATCACAACTATGCATTTTTATTAATTATTTTTTATTTTTTGTTAGTTAGTTACGTTGATCATCGTGCCTTGAACAAAAACATCGTTCTCCTAAAATATAAGTAAAAAAATGGCTAGGTGCATTACCAACCCCACTACAGAAATACAGACGAATCAGCGGTTAAGCCGAGCTGAGCCGAATTAGTCTCACGAATCCTGCAGAGCATTTGTTGGGCTACCGGCACCTCCCGGTTGCCACATTAAATGTTTCTATTTGTCGACATACACTAATTAATTCAGAGATTCGCTCGCTTACAAACTTTAATGATACTCTCTCTGTTTCATAATATAAGTCGTTTTGGAGAAAATTTTTTGTTTCATAATATAAGTCGTTTTCAAGTTTCTATGCACTTTATATATTACTTTAATATTTTATAATTATTTATATTATGCAGTCTCTTTTATGATTGGTCGAACTTTTTAAAAGTAGATCTTCTTAATCTGCGTGTTTAAAGCTAAAACGATTTATATTATGAAACGGAGGGAGTATTATTTATTATAATAAGTTAGTAGTTTAATCATGGGTGGTTATTTATTATAATAAGTTAGTAGTTTAATTCTTGCGGTGAAAAAGATTTGAGTTTTTCCCTAAATACGTGTGGGAAAAGAAAATGTTCAAGACTTCAAGTGAGGTAGGTCAAAACTCAAATCCATCACCAGACGGACACTCGTCTTAATCCAATAGTTTAATGAGAGATCCAATGGTCATCATTTTTTTCTCAACAACAACATAATTAGTTTTAGGAATTTTTGATAATATATGTTCACCTACCAAAACCATGTCATAATGAAAGTTTATGTTCCACCTTTTTTCCTTGGCAACACCTTATTATACTAGTCATTTTTTTTTCCAATGATCTTATGATCAGTCTCGTATTCATTTTTCGTAGCTAATTTAAATTTACTTTTGAATATTAAATAATTTTGTTTGTTCTAATCTGTTATATATAAGATCACCATAAAAGATTAATTTCTAGAAACAAAAGAATAATATTTCGAGACAAGTATATATGGTATCAAAATCTGTAAAAAATCAGAGCCATGACCGAATACAATGTTAAGTTTATGTGACGTGAGATTTAGAGTTTCATCGAGAAAGATTATAATAAAATTAATATGATTCACTTTCCAATTCGGTTTTAAATTAAAAGCATTGATAATCAATCAACTAACTAATAATTCACTAATGAAAAGCCGAATAAGCCGATGGAAGTAAAGTAAAATTGAAGTCCAAAACCTATAGATCCGGTGGACAGTCAACAGTGTCGTTAATCCCTATAAATAGCTCACTCCCTTCTCATCCACAGATCGTCCCCGACTCGTCTCTTCCTCGTTCGCTGTTAAGATTTTGCTTCGAGGCTCCGAGATCTGTAATCTCCGCAGGTTTCGCTCTTCTTCTCCGTCATCGATTTCGAGTATTTAGGCCATGTCTTTTATTCTCGATTTGATTTACGGTCTTATTCTTTGTTAAATCTGCAATGAAATGATATTTTTCTATGGGTTTGGATTCAGATTTGATAGTATTCGAACTGGATCTGCGATAGTGTGGCTACTGAAATCTGCAAATCGTTAGATTTGATTGAAATGATTAGGTTAGGTTATATGGTTTTTGCGTGTTAAATCTATGAATGATTCGTTTATGATGCACACAGATTTAGATCTGTTCATTTTCGAGTCCTCTAGTATCAAACCTTACTTTTAGCAGATCTGCGTAATGGGTCTATCATTTTTGCAAAAGATTTGAATCGCATATGATTTGAGTTTGGCTTTAAATGCTTTTGTATTAAGTATGAGCCATAAATGAGTCTTCCTGGTTAACTTTTAGAGTTGCTACTGTCTCACAACCCATTTTGGCATCTATGATTATCAGAAGAATCGAATCTCTTTGGATAAGATGCATCTGTTTTTATGCTATTCGACAATGATTTGGAATCTCTAGCTTTTTTATGTCACTTGAGTGTGGAATCTTTTTTTTTTTCACTTTTAATTCTATAAAGTTTTTCTTGTACTGATTTTTATGTGGTTGCTGATTCAAACTTTCTTCTGTTGTTATAGCTTTAAGAGATGGAGACTTTCCTATTCACATCCGAGTCTGTGAACGAAGGACACCCAGACAAGCTTTGCGACCAGATCTCTGATGCAGTCCTCGATGCCTGCCTTGAGCAAGACCCTGACAGCAAAGTTGCTTGCGAGACATGTACCAAGACCAACATGGTCATGGTCTTCGGTGAGATCACCACCAAGGCAACGATTGACTACGAGAAGATTGTCCGTGACACTTGCCGCTCCATTGGATTCATCTCTGATGATGTTGGTCTCGATGCTGACAAATGCAAAGTCCTTGTCAACATTGAACAGCAGAGCCCAGACATTGCTCAAGGTGTTCACGGTCATTTCACCAAACGCCCAGAAGACATTGGAGCTGGTGACCAAGGACACATGTTTGGTTATGCCACTGATGAAACCCCTGAGCTCATGCCTTTGAGCCATGTCCTTGCAACCAAGATTGGTGCTCGTCTCACTGAAGTCAGGAAGAATGGAACTTGCCGTTGGTTAAGACCAGATGGCAAGACCCAAGTCACTGTTGAGTACTACAACGACAACGGTGCTATGGTTCCAGTCCGTGTCCACACCGTCCTGATCTCAACCCAGCACGATGAAACTGTGACCAACGACGAGATCGCACGTGACCTCAAGGAACACGTGATCAAACCAATCATCCCAGAGAAATACCTTGACGACAAAACCATCTTCCACCTCAACCCATCAGGCCGGTTCGTGATCGGGGGACCACACGGTGATGCTGGTTTGACCGGACGTAAGATCATCATCGACACATACGGTGGATGGGGAGCTCACGGAGGGGGTGCATTCTCAGGCAAAGACCCAACCAAAGTCGACAGAAGTGGAGCTTACATCGTGAGGCAAGCAGCAAAGAGTGTGGTGGCTAATGGAATGGCTCGTAGGGCTCTTGTCCAGGTCTCATACGCCATTGGAGTCCCCGAGCCATTGTCTGTCTTTGTTGATACTTACGGAACAGGGTTGATTCCAGACAAGGAGATCCTGAAGATCGTGAAAGAGGCCTTTGATTTCAGACCAGGAATGATGACAATTAACTTGGACTTGAAGAGAGGAGGAAATGGAAGGTTTTTGAAAACGGCGGCGTATGGACATTTCGGAAGAGACGACCCTGATTTCACTTGGGAGGTCGTGAAGCCACTCAAGTGGGACAAACCTCAGGCTTAAGCTTATATTTTCTATCTTTTTACTTTATAAACATCTACCGTGGACCAATAATTAATCCCTCTGTTTCTGTTTTTTTCTCTCCCTCTTGTATTTTTGCTATGAAAGTTAAAAGGTTTGTTTAAACATCTACAATGGACCATTTTTCTCGTTCACTATAAATTGTAGTAGTTGAAATTTTGTGTTCTACGTTTTGGTACTTTATGCGATTAATATTCTTATCTATAGCGATTGTGAGTAATAACATATTACATAATTTGTTAGCAGATTTGATCGAAGTTGTCTATGTTGATAGCACTCTATATTTGTTGAGAAGTAGTACTTGACCCGGGTTTGGAAATCGGGGTTTGCACTTGTGGGTCGGATCTGTTTAGCCATATAATCTAGGAAGCTGCATATGGTATGCTTTCGAATTTCGATGGCAATGAATGATCATATTGTGCATTTCTTATGTTGAGCATGCTTTGCATATTGTGATAAAGTGTATTTCTATCTAAAGTAGAAAACTATCTATCAATCTATGTCAGAAATACAAAAATACACGTATTCTTTTCGAGTACAACACGAAACAACAATCATCTTCAACAAAACAAACAATGACATTGCTAAATTATTTAAAAAAAACACAGATCATACATTTGATCTGTTCAAAGGTAATGGATATAGAAGTGGAACCCATTTACATTGCCTTTATGAGATTCTTTGTTGTCGGTTCATACAATACGTACGAAAACAGAAATATTAATTCGAACTTAAATAATCTTAAGAGACGATCCAAAAAATCATAAAAAGTCAATTCCTACAATAAAAGAAAACACTAAATAGCGTTTCTTCTCATAATAATGATGGTTATCTATAGTCATTATTTATCCGAGTAGTATCTATCATTCAACAACTCTCAACTTGTTTTGTTTTAATGATAAATTGTCATTAAGCAGAAGAACCAATAACAATCTGTGTTAAACTGATTAGCTGATTATTCTATAATCAATCTTACCGGTTTAATTAACATTTTCGACTGAATTTTGTGCATGGATCGACCTTTCTACTGAATCAAGAGACAAAAAGCGTCAGCTTTTGAGCCTTTTTCCCTTTGAATGATCTCACCAGTGAAAGCTTAGTTTGTTTGTCCATATCATTTTTAATTTTCCGCTTAACAAATATCTTTGGACATACAGAGCAAAAATAAAAGCATATACATTTATATCATCTCTTATAATTTGAGAGGATAATTCTTTGTATGAATCACTGCTGCTACATATATTCAGTTATTTTTCTTGAAAAAGGAAAAAAAGAAAGTAAAAAGCAGAGACAGAGGAGAATGTTCTTTTGTCACAAAGGACCACCCAAAAGATCAGGTAATGTGATTTTTCCTAAATTATTAGGATCAAGTTTCTCGAACTGCATCCCAACTTGGTTAATGTCTTTCTCAGTGATCTTCCCCATTTCCTTGAGCTTGAACACTATATACTCTGATTTACTGTGACACACACCAAAATCAAATCCAAACATAAGAAAAAAAAGTAATCACGCACACTCACTTAAATCATTGAAATTAGATGAAACATAGACATGATAGTTCAATAATTGAATCTCCACTTTATATAATTAACTGTTGCTTGCAAGAAAAAGTCTAAGATTGACATGATTAGTCTTGATACTGTTGCTCTAAACACTAAGCAAACATGTTTACCTGATGAAACCATGATGATAAGTATCAGCTTTGAGCAAATCATCAACAGTAATATCTCTATTCAACGCCAATTTAACAGCTTTCCGATGCCGGCGATCAATCCTCGCTTCCGCCAAATACAAAAACGCACGCGCCACCGCAAGAGTGGAAACAAGAAGCCAAACCGCCGCAAAAAGCCTCCCTTGAAGCGTTTTAAAAGCTCGATCACCATAACCAACGGTAGTCACAGACATAACCGACAAATAAACCGAGTCAACAAAACCCAATTCTTCAACAAAATGCAAAACCAAAGCACCAACACCAATACACAAAACGACGACGCATAACGCTAAACCAACTTTCATCCTTATCCTCATCCTCCCTTTCTCAAAATCAATGATGTAATCTTTAGCAGAGAATCTATGGTGGTGGTGATGGTGCTGCTTCGTTTGGATTCCGGTGAGAATCATACTCTCTTGAAGATCCAAAACGTAATTAACAACACCACTGAGTAAGATATCCAAGAACCCGAACCCGAATAAAACGAAAACAACGGCGAAGATCTTCGTCCATGGAGTCAACGGAGCGATGTCACCGTAACCAATAGTACACATAGTGACGATACAGAAATAGAGAGCGTCGACTACAGGATGGGTTTCGATTCCTGAGTAGTGGTCACGATTGAATGAATAGATTGAAACCCCTAAGGTTAAGTAGATGACTAGCAAGAAAATAGCTTGTTTGATTATGGATTTTGAGATTGGTGATGGTTTTTTGGTTTCTTGATTTTTGGGTCTTAAGTCTTTGATGATTACCATAGCTGGAGCTGTACGACATCGGTGAAGTGGTCTAGTGTTTGACAAAAACCGATTTGTTTCGTCTGAGTCTGAGTCTTCGTCGTTGTCGTCTTGTACGGATTCTTCGAGGTCTTGATGATGAAGAAGACGTTCTTGGGAGATTTCGTGGAAGAAGGAAGTGTTTGAGATTGAGCGAGGGATTGTTATGGCGGCGGAGGAGGAGGAATCTGGATTTTCCGGTATTGGTTGGAGGCGGAAACGTGATTGAGGGCTGATGAGAGGTTGGTGATTCTCCATTTACCAACAAATGAGGAATCTCTAAAAACTTAATAAAAATGAAATTTTTTTTTTTTTTTTTTTATGGGGACAAACGGAAAAATCCAAAAGAAAAGTGAGTTTTGAGGTGAAAAAAAAAGTGTGATTGGTGTTTGGATTAGCAATTTTTTATACGAGTTTTAAGAAGAGGGATCCACATGCCACGTATGAAAATCAGATTTATCGTCAGACGTTAACCACAATATATATAGTACTATATATAGTTCAAGGCTTCACGCATTTAGTAGGTAGAGCAAATTACATGTTGTATATGTGATATTCGATTTGATCTGCTATGTGCTTTCATCTTGTTTTGAAGTCATATGGAAGCCTTAAACTGGATAGATTGTTAATCGTAAATGTGTTTAGTTGTTCAGAAGGAGGCTTGTTTTGTTGCTTGAGTATGTCGTACAGGTGATTCTTGGTTTTTAGATCTGAATTACTTTTGCTTTGAATATTGATAGGAAAAGTTGAAAGGGAGTATGAAACGATACTGAAAAGGACGCTACATAGGATTTGTGTTTTGACAGTTGTTCCAAAGACCACCACCTCAGTGATAATTCAGGTGAGTAGCTATTCAATGTTGTGTATATCGATATTGTCAACTTGAGTTGTATCTGATGTTTTTATTTTGTAATTCCCGTGTAGGTTGTACATGATGGTGGTTCTGTATCGTTTTTATGTTCTTTGCACCTTGGTAAATATTTACAGATGCTGTCTGAAACACATATAATCCAGTATAAACAATGTCTGTTTGAGTATTTATAGAGTTTATAGTAGTGAAAGTTTGTAATCCCATAAGTTGAGAGTGTGAATATATTTTTGTGTAACTTCTACCGTGGCCTCCATTCTGGCAGTTAGAAGGTAGGAAATGTTTGTTCTAAAGAAATATGATGTACAGAAAGGAAGACTATGAAGGATGGAATTTACGAAGTCGAGAAGTCGAGAGAGAGTGGGAGAGATTTATTTTGTTAAAATCTTGTGGGGAATTAGAATATTTGTTGGGTTTAGAAGCATTAAGTCATCACTGAAATGGGCTCGACCCATTAATATTGCACTCTAATAGTTTCTAAAACACATATGGCCCATCCGTCATGGACTATTTTGTTTACTCCATTTGAGACTTATAATTAGAATCTGATGTGTATTAATGAAATGTTTTCATTGGAAGAATAAGAAGCTGATGTCATCTCCAGAATAGCCAAAAATGCTGACGTGGGGGAAGGATGAAGAGAGATAGTCACCTTTCATATATATGATTGTAAAATATCCGTTTTGAATTTCTGTAACTTCATTAATTTTGATTCTAACTTTATTTGAAATCGAAAATTGGCTAGTTATTTTTCGGTGAAACCGTCGTGAGATCATTTCTTCAACAAGGATCAGCCCATAGTGATGGTCGGTCTAAAGCAAAAAAAAAAATGTAAATTTGTTGTCCATAAATAGAAAAAAGAGATAACAAAAAATTACTACTTGGGAGCCGAGGAATTTGGTGAGAATGTGAGAGCGGTGGCTAATTTCTTTCTGCATTCTATAAATTCAAGCAAACATTTGTAAGAAAAAAGTAACTTCATTAAAATGCAATACAGGCCTGGGCTTTCGAATATCTGTTCGGTTATCGGTTGGGTAAATTTGGTTCCGGTTCTAAAATTTAGTATCTATTCAGATATTTTTAAATTTCGGTTCGGTTCCGGTTATTTCGATTTTAAAATTAAGTATCCATTCAGTTATTTTTTTTAGGATATTTTCTAATATTTCTGTTATTTTTGAGTATTTTCAGATATTTTTGGATATATTTCGGTTATTTTCGAGTATTTTAACTATTTATATATTTTTCAAGTATTTTTTATTATTTTGTCTATAAATAACTAATTATTTTGAAAATATAATTGTATTTCGGGTATTTCGGTTCGGTACCGATTCGGTTACAATTATTTCGGTTATTAAATTTAGTATCCATTCGGCTATTTTCAAATTTTGGTTCAGTTCGATTTATTTTTTTTTTGTTTTGGTTACGGTTCAAAACATTTAGTTCGGTTTATTTGCCCAGGGCTAGGCAATAGAAAAACCAGAAATTAGGCAATAGAAAAACCAGAAATTACAAGAAGCTGGCTACGTTTTAGTATTCGATAAACAATAAAGGTCCATAACTAGGCCTATGTTTGTCGACTAGTTAGGCCTATATAAAGGCCCATTCGAATTATGCATGTTTAAGGCTTAAAATATACTTATTAGTTATTATAGTGGAATACACGACCGAGTTGAGGAAATGCAGAAATTAGTAGACCCCATGACACAAAACAAAAGTCAAGATTGATTTTTTTTTTTCTTTTTAAACGGAGAGTAATCGGAGGTAGCGGAAATTTTTAGAACAGATTGCTACCTATAAGAACAACATTTTAAAAATAACACTATTATTGATCTCATATCCCACTAATCCCTTCTTGATTTTGTATTATTAGGAAACTATATAGTTTGTTTAGTTCGATCTTCTAAACTTTTATTTTTTGGATGTTACATTTGTAAATTCTTCTCTTCGTGATTGGGCAACCAATTATAGAGTTAAATTTTAATCAATGTGTGGTTGACAAATTTTTTTTTAAAACTATATATATATTTTTTCCGTATGGATTTATTATTTATTGCAAATTATTAGAACTGTTACATAGATGATTCTACAATGGACAATTCCTTCCGACCCTTATTAGATCTACGACAGACTACACTTACTCCTTCATGCTCTTGACAGACACCTTCAATGATCCACGACCTGACGACACTTTCCTCTCTGCGTAGAATCCTGGCGAACAACTATAATTGTAAATCATTGGAGATCTCTTGCACACTTGCCTCAATTAATTTGTAAATTTATTAATAAATCGCACTATCTGGGACTCGAACCCCAGACCTTTTGGTGTAGAAGCATTAATTAACCTTTTGTCAACCAATGGGCTTCCACATTTAAAAAATTTTCTTAAAAAAAAAAAAAAATTTTAATTCCGTTTACTATTTAAAAACTATAGAGTAAACGGAATTTAAAAATTTTTTTTAATGATTATTCACATGTTTTTATGTTCTTTCTTTCAATGTTTGGCTTTCCCAGACTTTGTTTCATTGTTGATACTTGGTGGTGAGTCATTTCTCTAAGAAAATCCAGCCCAAAACACATAAGGAGATGAAGATGGGGATATTGGAAGAGAACACAAAGACTGTACCGTTCTACAAATTGTTTTCCTTCTCAGATTCTACCGATGTGTTGTTGATGATTGTTGGTTCGATCGGAGCTATCGTAAACGGTGTTTGTTCTCCGTTAATGACATTATTGTTTGGTGATCTCATTGATGCATTGGGTCAAAATCAGAACAACGAAGAGATTGTTGAGATAGTTTCCAAGGTTAGGAAAAAAGTGTTACTAAAACCCAAAAAAAAAAAAAAATTATCTTTTGAGTTGCTTTTTGATGTTTACTTTATTATGTTTAGGTTTGTTTGAAATTTGTCTACCTTGGACTTGTAGCACTTGGAGCAGCCTTTCTTCGTAAGTTATACAAATTTTAGTTTTTTTTTTTTTTTTAAAGGAGAAAAGCAATTTCGGTTTTTTCGGTTATAGAGGTGGCTTGTTGGATGATAACTGGGGAAAGACAAGCTGCAAGAATAAGGAGTTTGTATCTGAAAACGATTCTAAGACAAGACATTGGATTCTTCGATGTCGAAACGAGCACCGGAGAAGTTGTTGGTCGAATGTCTGGTGATACTGTTCTTATACTTGATGCTATGGGTGAGAAGGTAAAAAGGAACAAAAATAGCAAACAAAAAACAAAATATTTTCTGATAGATTTTTAAGTTGTGAAACTTTTTTCAGGTTGGGAAGTTTATACAGTTGATTGCAACATTCTTTGGTGGATTTGCTATAGCGTTTGTGAAAGGATGGTTACTTACACTTGTTATGTTGACCTCAATTCCTCTTCTAGCTATGTCTGGTGCAACTATGGCGATTATAGTTTCTAAAGCTTCGTCTCGAGAACAAGCTGCTTATGCGAAAGCATCAACTGTTGTTGAACAAACTTTGGGGTCTATTCGAACCGTAAAAAATTCTTGCTTTTCCCTTTTCTGTTTAGGGTGATGTTCATCAAAAATTTTAACCAAGTGTTTGTGTGTTTTCTCTAGGTTGCTTCTTTCACGGGAGAGAAGCAAGCGATGAGTAGCTACAGAGAATTGATAAATTTGGCCTATAAATCGAATGTTAAGCAAGGTTTTGTTACGGGTTTAGGTCTTGGAGTACTGTTCTTGGTGTTCTTTTGTACTTATGCTTTGGGTATATGGTTTGGTGGTGAAATGATACTCAGAAAAGGGTATACAGGTGGTGCAGTGATCAATGTAATGGTCACTGTAGTCACGAGTTCGATGTGAGTAGTGAGTACACCATATATATATTCTACTCTAAAGTTTCAAGACAGTTAAAACGGTTTTTGTGATTTCTTTTCTTTGTATAGGTCTTTAGGGCAAGCAACGCCTTGTCTTACTGCATTTGCGGCTGGTAAAGCTGCAGCTTATAAGATGTTTGAAACAATCGAAAGAAAGCCTTCGATTGATACTTTTGACCTAAATGGGAAGGTTTTAGAAGATATTCGAGGCGTAATTGAACTGAGAGATGTGTGTTTTAGTTACCCTGCCAGGCCTAAAGAAGAGATTTTTGGCGGATTCTCTCTGCTGATTCCGAGTGGTGCAACCGTTGCTTTGGTAGGAGAAAGCGGGAGTGGGAAATCTACTGTGATCAGTTTGATTGAAAGGTTTTATGATCCGAATTCCGGCCAAGTGCTTATTGATGGTATTAACTTAAAGGAGTTTCAGTTGAAATGGATTAGGGGAAAGATTGGATTGGTTAGTCAAGAACCTGTTCTGTTTTCTTCTAGTATAATGGAGAATATCAGGTACGGGAAAGAGAGTGCAACGGTTGAAGAGATTCAAACAGCAGCAAAGCTAGCAAACGCGGCTAAGTTCATCAATAAGTTGCCTCGAGGTTTAGAGACTTTGGTAGGGGAACATGGAACTCAACTCTCAGGAGGACAAAAACAGAGGATTGCTATCGCGAGAGCGATACTTAAAGATCCGCGGATCTTGCTGTTAGATGAAGCTACTAGCGCTCTTGATGCGGAATCCGAAAGAGTGGTTCAAGAGGCTTTAGATAGGGTAATGGTGAACCGGACTACTGTGATTGTCGCGCATCGGTTAAGCACAGTGAGAAATGCTGATACGATTGCTGTGATTCACCGTGGAAAGATAGTGGAAGAAGGTAAATAACATTACTGCATTTCGGTTTCGGGTTTGATTCAACTGCGAAAATTTATCTTTTTTTTTGTTTAACAGGTTCACATTCAGAGTTACTTAAGAATCACGAAGGGGCTTATTCACAGCTTATACAGTTACAAGAGATAAACAAAGAATCAAAGCGATTGGAGATTTCTGATGGATCAATCAGCAGTGGATCATCAAGAGGAAACAACAGCAGAAGGCAAGATGATGACTCTGTTTCGGTTCTTGGTTTACTTGCAGGCCAAGAGAATACTAAAAGGCCTCAAGAACTGTCACAGAATGTGTCGATTACTCGAATCGCTGCTCTAAACAAACCTGAGATTCCAATTCTTATACTTGGAACCTTAGTGGGTGCAGTGAACGGCACTATATTCCCCATTTTCGGTATCCTCTTTGCTAAAGTAATCGGAGCTTTCTTCAAAGCGCCTCAAGAGCTGAAGAGAGATTCGAGATTCTGGTCGATGATATTCCTACTTCTTGGTGTAGCCTCTTTGATAGTGTATCCAACGAATAACTACTTGTTTGCTATAGCTGGAGGGAGACTGATTCGGAGGATAAGATCAGTGTGTTTTGAGAAAGTTATTCATATGGAGGTTGGGTGGTTCGATAAACCTGAGAACTCG